CATCCCCTAAAATATGCGAAACGGCATACTCGGTCGATGTACCACGCTCCTTCCCTTAATCTATCATTCAGCCCTATTCTAACGCGTTTCGTGTTTGCTACACGCAGACATTGTGTTTCGAATGGATTCCTCCTATAATCGAACTACCATCCAACTTTCTCGTTTAATCGCTGCTAAAATTAAAATCATCTTTTGAAAAGTCCGTCAACAGATTTAAATTGATTCGTTATGACAAGATTGGGAAGATTCCGTTGATTTTTGCACCGTCAGGGAACGAAATTACGCGACGCTTCCTTTACCTGGCTCGATAACTCGTTGGAAGAAGAACGCAACGACGACAGCCAAACAAAATTCATTTTTCATAGAGGAAACGTCGATACGTCGACCGTCGTTCTGCATCGATGTTCCTAGAGAGGTAACAATTCGCCGTAGATATGATCTAGATTGAAAAAATTCTTTAGAAATCGCATTTGATTGAATTCCCTTAAGACGTAGGTATTGCGCATTTCGTGCTCATTCCCCCTCTTTTGTCTACTCGCCGTGAAACATTGGCCAATAATCATCAAGGCAAGCTGCAATTGGTAAACTTTGTCTGAATTTTTTGAAAAAGTCGTATGAATTCCGTACGCTAGATTTAAGACGCTTGACGAGAAAGAGTAGAAAGGTAAAATTTGATTTTCCTCGGGGCAGCAATCGATAGGTAATCGGTTCGGTAGAAATGGGTAATTAGCCGTGAAGTTTTGGGAAACGTAATCCCACCAATGACGACGACGACGATGGTAAAACGCGATAAAACCTGTGCGTCGCTGATCTTGCACGCTTTCCCAAAGGACCATCCGTTACTTCCTACTTGCAATTTTTTCATTTCGCAACACCAAACCGCATCTATGAAGTCTCGATGCTCATTCAATGATCAACAGTTTCGAGATGCGTCTACGTTACTATCAAATTCGAACCTGAAGTGTAGGAATAATTGAAACCTGTATTCTTAGAAAGAGCGAATCGTGAACTGTTGATGCAGTTATGCTCCTCCTGTCTAGTCTTAGCGTTGAAATGGCTGCCAGCTACAGAAGATTAACGAACAATGACCATTCAAGTACCGTGACATTCTTCGCTCAGGATGAGTTTCAGTAATTCATTGTTGTACAATGTTTACACACTATGCTTAACAGTTCTCCTACTTCATTAGAAATATTCTACGTAATGATATTTCGAAATTGAAGATGCAGCATATCAAGCCCGTTCGAATGCTATTTCATACGAAAGAAGTGGTTGATTCTTTTTTTTAGATAAATCCCACAGGTGAACCATCGGTTTAACGACGCACGTTTGGACACTCGCAAACAGAATTGTTCCGTACCGAACATTTTTTTTGTCTATTCTCGCATCGAGCCTTTCTCCTTTTATTTTTATAGCTTAAGGAAATTGTAAGACGGGCCTGAAGAATCCGCGACCCATAGGATTAGCCGGGGCCGTTATTAAGCGCGTACCCTCGGTAATTTCACCACCAGAACTCAGTTTATTAACCATTGTCCCGATTTTCCAATTACTCAACTAGTGTCTTCCTTCTCTCATGTCCTATCTCCTTTTTTCGGAATTCCCCAAGACCCCGACACCTCATCCTTCTACCACCACCTTCTACCACCACTTCCCACCACCACACCCTACGACCAATACTTAATGTTCTTATTTCTCCCATTTTTCACTTCTAAAATTAAACTCCGCCCTCAGTAGCTGAGATGCGTGACTTCCTCTGAATTTCGAATCAGTATCATTCTGAACGTTAAACAACCAAGTATTGAATCAGTCCGAGTGCTGAACGCATAATCAAGTCGTTTATATTATAACGTTGGAGAAAGGGTATTCCGGGATCGCTTCAGACCTCGTTAGAAAACAGTCCGATTTTTCTCTGGTGATCCAAGTTTGAAACATAACTCAAACCGACGCGAGTACACGACAAGAATCTTTACGCTCCCCACGAGAATTTTTCGAGGTAGATGCAGAGCCGCGGGATAATTAGTACTGTAGGAATCGACGATGGAAAAATATCGAGAACCCGGGACCTTCGGCTTAGCAAAGCCGAGGCTTTGCGCGCTACGCTAACCACTCCCTCTCTATTCTCCCTTATCGGTTTCCTATTTGGGTATGGAGGCCCCGATACTACAGTACCATGTCATCGATAAAACTAGCAATGTTATCACGGTACTGTGTTGCGTTATGCAATTTTTGGAGAAAACGGTGTTTCGTCTAGCCGAATAAGCATGGTAATAGCGCCCCTAAACCGAATGAAACGTGTGATACGTCAATTGAAAGAGATTCCTAGGAAAACCATTTCGACAAAACTTTTCCTAGAAAGCTCTTTCAATTAACGTATCACACTTTTACCATGCTTATTCGGGCTAGCCCCTTTACCTTTTGACGGGGATCACTTTCGACATGGTGAACGAAAAACGATGAAAGTTCAAGAGAGAAGAGTTGTGCGATCTTATTTCTCGAGTGTCACGTCGGGTTACGCATCGTAGGAAAGATTGAGTGGAGGGTTTCTTTAACAAATGCCTTCGATCTACCCCTTTCGTTTGTACACTTTCTTTCACTTGAAGCGAAAGAGTTCCCTTCAGCTCTTCGAAGTAAGAAATAACACTGAAAATATTGATTCTTCGATTGAACTAGCATTCCAACCACCAACCAACTTTCCAACGAGCATTTGGATATGCTGGCTACATAAAAAGGAGAAAAAAAGACAAAAGAAGAGAGGCTAAATCGATCGTTTCGAAACTGCAACGAAACGCTGGTTCAAGAGTACCGGGAGCATTTGTTTTACGTAACTTAACGAGCAATCCACAGCTCCTTCGCCGTGATATCGCTAATTAAGCATTTTCATAACGGTATCCGATTTCCCTGCCTCTCGACTCATTTTTTCGCCGACCCTGACCCGTGCGTACAATTTGTTTGCCACGATAATAGCGAGAATTTTGTTGTCGTAATTCTAGGAAGAACCTATTCTCCACGTTGCAGCAAGAGAGTTTAAGGGAATGGGAATATGCGAGAGCGATGTGAAGAAACGATCTGAGACGTGTGACATACACGGTGAAGATACTATCACCCGTCAAATTTCATCGTATCTCTAGTGTCAAGGGGTGGCACTGATGCAGCTATCGATATACATATGTATAAACTCCAACACGATTCTCCCTATCTATCGACGATCGTGTCCCGTCCTTGAAATGCTTTACAGGCAACTTGGACGAGTTCTCACAGTAGAATGGCCCGTTGCTTGATCAGACACGAGGGATTCCGTCTTACGTTGCCGCAGCCGCCACGCCGCTTCTTTTCTTCACGCACTGTCCTCATCGCTGTTGTTCCGTCATTGGAGAATATTCGTGTAGTTTTCTCGTAAACGTTCTATCAAAAATTAACGACAACGTATCTTGGAACTGCAAGAAAGAAAGCACATTGGTTTTTTTTGAAGTCGGAAAAAAGAAACAGCGGCAAGACGACTCTTGGCTTCAAAGAATACGCGAAACGGTTTCTTGGTTATTTCCATGTTTCTTTTTCTTCATTGTTCTTCGTGATGTTACGCTATCTTTCGATTTAAAAAGGGTGTCTAGAGAGGTTGACGTTGGCGTTGGCGTTGGTATTACGTGAACGAGTAATAAGCGATAGAGATGAAGTGTATTCCTCGAGACGAGTCAACTGATGATTAACTGAAGGCAATCAGAGAGGAGCATAAAGGTAAAAAAGTGCTGAAATGAAAGAACAACCCTTCTTCGAGAAGTGCTCTCCCCTAAAATACCTGACTCTCTTGAAGACGGGGGACGGATATCTACCGAGTTATCGTGAGGTAAAGTTTGAACGAAAAAGCAACGAAAGGAGGAGAGAAACGCGGAACTGAAGCAGTAATTATCCGATAACGAGGGCCGAGTTTCGTTGGTCGAGAGGAGAGAAACGATCCGGGAATCGATCGCGAGAAAAGGGCTGCTAGGAACCGGATCAAAGCTGTTACCCGCTTGAAATTGGATCTCTTTTCTGTCTTTCCCGCGACGGTAAAGGGATTTATAATCAACGAGGAATCGTTAAGGCTCCTTTGAACACGTTTCGATTTCTCGCTTTCGTGTTTCCTGGGCAACGAGTTACCCAAAAGTCCGAATTTTTTCGGGTTTCAACGAGAACGTACCGCCTACACGGCGTATAATATAAAAATATGGTTCGCTTTACCACTGACGTGGCAAAAACATCCGCAGCTTAATTAACGTATACCTAATATTCCTCGCGTTGCTGTAATTGTAATACAGTATGTATGTCCCAGTGAAAGTTTCGGTTTTGCTGTAACTATAACCTCATAGTTCGAAAGAATCGGCGGACCTGGAACAGAGTGCGCTAGGTAACAGAGGGTTGCGTTACCCAGGTGGCTCGCGTCGGTAATCCCCACGCGGAAACCAAGTGTCTCGAAGGGTAGTTTCTTTATTGAATACCCTGTTCGCGGCTTATCGTGTAAGCTGAAGTCACCGAGAGCTCGCTGGTGACTCTTACTCGCGGTCGATAAAATCAGAAATTTTTTTCGCGTCGAATCTTGTCTACTGTTTCGATCGATCGAAATATTCCCAGGCAGAGTCGATACCGTCGATACACCTAGAAAAATTCCGTTGTAAATAATCCATGGACATACTGTGAAGTGTTATCAAATTTTCGTTCACTTCTGTGCAATGTATTATTCGATTTGAACTGTGTAGTTTGTTTATCGAAACGTAGAAGATATATGGAGGAATTGATGAGAGATGATGAAAGAGATTGAAACGAACGTAAACAGTGACAAGGGAAAAATGAGTATAAGTACTTGCCTATCGTTTGTGAAAGTGTGTTTGTTAAAAAGTAATTCATCGTTCGGATCGATAAACGAACAGGAAGTCGCGAATCGAGTTATGAAACGAGAAACGTCACGGTTACTGATCGCGGTGAGAAAAAATCGCCACGGGTGGTTGAGTGGTATCAGAAAAACCTTTAGGCTCACTTTCCATTATCCATATATCCTGTACTCTGATTGACTTCCAGTGTCGTTCACGCGTTTCGTCACCTTTTTCACCCGGTTTTTTTTCTCCCTTATCGTTCCACACGCCGAAATTCTCCTGGTGAGCACCGATAAAAATCTGTTCTTACGATTATGATCTCCCGAAACTCTCCTGCTTTTGCCTTTACGTATAAAACTTGTCGTTAGGTTGTTCGAAAAGTGAAATCGTTAGAGTTCTTCTTGTTTCTTCGCTTATTACGGATGCTATAAAATCTATTCGATTGGATATTGGGAACGAATAAAAAGTTTGATCCATCGGCGTCAAGAAGCGTTCCGTCGTTCGCTGTTTTATAAGCGCCATCGTTGCGATCGTAAGCGGCCATCAATGCGTACGGCTAACTCGTTAAACGCGGCTTAACTTACCCGCGAAGGACTCCTTAAGCTCTATCCGTAAACGCGAAATTGCTGACAATTCGACAAGCTTGCCAACTTTTCGTTGCAAATATTTACTACTCTGTCGATATAAATTTAATTATCGTGTCTACGCTTCGCGAACTTCTCCAACTTTTCAAGGTTTCACGAATTTAGAAATATGGAAATACAGAGGATAATAATTATCGAAGAAATTTTCAAGAAAGACTCAGCGAACAGCGAAGGCTACGAATGGCAGCGAATGGTTTAACACTGTATAGTTTAAGAAATATGCGAACAATTCATCACCACGATCGTTCCCGCGCAAAGAAATGAATAAATGATCGACTGTTTCCAGGGAAGCAATGAATAAGATATAGCTAAGTAGAACGGGACAGAGAAAGGATAATTCGGAATAGGACTTTTAACGAACCGGAAATTGCAAAAGGCATCGATGGAAAACCACAAATCGTGGTGCCCGCGTAGTATTTCAAAGCGGACTTGCGATTGTTCGCCCCTGCGAGGAACGAATCACGACTCGCGCCATCGTCATTAGCTAATTAATGGGACCGAGGCTAATTGCTCGATGAGCCACACGATATTTGTTGCGGAAACGCTCGATCGGCTTTCGCTAAATAAACTCGCAATGATCCCGTGATCCCAATGATAACGCGCATAATTGTGCGGAAAATCTGCAGAAAATTCATCGCCTCTTCCTGCTTGTTAGTGGGAGCAAGAGAAAGACCACGAAAAAGGTTATCCTCTTTCCTTTCTGTCCCTGTTTCGCCTTTTAATCCAGACCGCATTTTCTCCTAGAAAAATCATCTTTTTCGTCTCGAGAATACGATGCAATCACGCGGAATTCCATTCATCAACCGCGCAATTATCATTTTTTCAACTTTAGTTTGAACTTAGAAAATATTGCTGTTGCCGCCGTCTACAATTGGACGCTGCCGTAAATAGGTACTAGCTTGATTGCAAAATCCGGACAGATTGTCTTTCCTCCAACTGTTTCATCATTTCACTCAGTCTCGAAAAGAGTTTGCACAAGCGTCCGTTGTTTTAGTTAATGTTACCGAGTTCCTCTTCCCTTCTATCAATTAGTCTAATGTATCCTTAATAAAAGAAAAAGTAAAAATCGAGAAAGAAAGGGAGAGAAGTTTGTTCGAGAGTAACTAACGTTTTAAGAAACATTCGGGACAACGACAAATGTAGTAAATTAATAGGAAACGGAGCGGATGAATAAGAGGAGGAGAACGAAAAGATGAAGAAGGGGAGCGAAAGGAGAAAAATGTAAGAAAATATTTGGCGAAAGTAAGTTCACGTTGGTCACGTCCTCAACCGCTGCGTTATTTGTCGTTAATTATGGTCGGCGCGTGACACTGGAAGTCGGTTAATTGAATAGATCTATTTCTTCCCCGCGAACCACCTGTCGCATTTGCGATTCGTCTCAAGCGAGACTCGTTTCTCGTCTTCCCGTGTACGGTAACAACGTGTCCGCCTGTGCCAGACACCTTCACAGACAAATGGCCTCGCCTCGCCTCGAGTAGACAAACGTAATTTCACGTTGGACACCTCGCGAAACCGAAATTAATGTCTGCTGCATGCGTGGATGTGTATTTTAACTAAACGTTTAACGATAATTAATCTCGCTAGTTTTCAAACTTGACCAGAAAAAGGGCAAAGAGGTGTGAACTCTGTTATTACGAAGGGAGGATCTCGGTGAAAACCGAGGGCAGAGATTAAGATCACGTTTCCCAGTGAAACTTGTTCAGTTCAGAACCGGAGTTATAATTCCCCGGGCAATTTCTGACTTTGTAATCGGTCTATTCCCTAACGAGACTGACCGCAAGTCTGATACTGTCGCCGCGAACCTGCACAAACTGCATCGTTTTCGAACGAGTTTCCACAGTTTTGAGACGTGTCTAAATTGCTAGAGAGAAAAGCAGAGACTTTCTATTTTTCCGCCTCTCGAGAGTATCGAAGATCACTGTCACACTGGACTGTTCGCTGGTCTTTGCGTTGCCGTCACGTACACGGTGCTCGAAAAAAGCTACATCACACGATAATTTCTTCCTTTTCGAACTAAACTAAAAGAAACGAAAGAGAGCATTGGCAAAGTTGCTTGCAATTCCCAAGGAGTCTTTCTTCCTCTGCAGCTGTAAGGAACATCGCTAATTAAACTTGGTGAACATCACTCGAGGCGTACGTCACGTGAGGCTGAAACTGCAAACGGCAAGGCTGCATCCTCCACTCATCCGTTCGATACGAACACACGATTCCGTTGATCATTTAACGTTGTTCCTCGGGATAAGTTCGAGGCTTCGAGGAGAGAAACATATGTATGCGTTGGTGTCGCAGGATAGCGCGCGGTTTAAAGCGCCTGCGTTCAAACTGCGATATATAGAGAGCAGTTGCCGCTCCAAGCATCACATTGCGCCCTCGAGTAGGTCCTTCGTCTTTCTGTCTTCCTGAAATAACCAACGCGTCGGATATCCTTTGACGATCCACAAATTCGAGGTGTTGCGTGCTCTTCTTTAATTTTCGTAACAAAAAATTGAGCTTAAATCCAGCCTCGATTGTCTTTTTTTAAAAACAGAATTGAACTTAGATAGCGGTATCGTCGTGCTTCCGATCTACGCAAACTTTCTTGAAAAAGGAAGAGAAGAAATTTCTTTCGTGGAGGTGTATTGGCGAATACTGTAATCGTACCGAGCAACGCGCCACTTTTTCCACCAGCGATCCGATAGATGGGCAACGGAGTGATCCCATTGATGGTGGTGGCGATGGTGCCCATAATCGCTGGCACCATTGGTCAGCGTGCCCTCAGCCAGAGGAACGCTGCATCGAACCTCGATTATCCAGACTATTCGACCAAGTACGACGACGAGTATCCGGTGAGTAATTCTGATAGTATTCGTGGACAAGTGGGTGATTCGATGTTACGAAAGACAAGGGGTGAGCGGTCTTGCGTCGAAAGATAAAGTTACGTCTGGAAATGGAGTGGACGCGGAAAACAATCGAAAGGACAAAAAGTTTCAACAACTGGCTATTGCGCACCACTTTCCTGTACTTCGTAAAACAACTTTTACAATTCACACAAGTAGTTTTAGTCTTCCTTCTTTTTTCATTCTATCTAATTATTGTCTTGTTTAATTTGGAAACACTTGGCTGTCTATTAACTATCATAAATTCCAAGTAGAACTCGTTTATTACTGCCGTGAACTCCACAGAGGGCTGTCCCTTTTGCCGGAACTCCAAAGAGGGTAAAGAACGCGCGACTTCGAGTCCCATTCAATTCGTTCATCCAAACTTTCTACTACTCTTTCAAACTTTTTCCTTGACAATCATTCCGCAGTCGAAAAATCTTCAAGAAAATTCATCAGATCATCTCTCTCGTTTTACTCTTTAAGATCGGTGCCGTAAAAAGATAGATGCCGTTTTCACCAAAATTCGAACGAAACGATATTGCGAGTGGTCGAGGAAATTTCATGGAAAAACCAAACATCTGTTAGAAGAATAAAGTTCATGGTGTGCAAAAACAGCTTCAAAATCCCCGAATACTTCGGAGGAGGAAAATCGATCTAACACGGTTTACACGCCTTTATTTCGAAGAAAAACTCGACAGTTTCTATCCGGTAATCGCGTTATAGAATATCCAATTCTTAGTCGTCTTTATCCTCGGCGAGTTTCTCCCTGGAATTCCATTCTTCTCGAATTTCTCTATTACTCGGTATACATATATATATATATATACACATTCGTTTCTGGTGAGCTTCTTTGTTTTGTGATAAACGAGAGCGTAAGCCGAGAATATTACTGGATCCGCCGTCAAGCTTTTTCTTACTCTGATCTGCGACTGTGACTGCGACTGCGAGCACGGAAGCTTGTCACCAGTAAATCGGATCGATGATATTTCATTTTTTTTCCTTCGACAAGTCCAACATGTATTTTTAACAGTGTCTCTCGTGGACTTTTATCGACCACGTGGAAAGATTTTCTTGGTGGAATTTTTCTATCAGATGAACGTGCAACAATTGACAGGGGTAATTAAAAAAGAAGAAGAACATACAGCTATTAATATGTTTTCTGATTTCAAAAAACAAACTTAACTCACTCGTAACTAAATTCACTGGAGGGAAAACTGCGTAAAGTGCGAGCCACGGTACGAAACAGTTTCTCAAATGAAAACTGAAAATACCGCCACAGCACTTTGCCAGCGTTTTGAAAAAGTTTACAAAGTACTAAAGAGGAAGTTGTGTTGCGGTCGTTACTGGATACTTTAAGAGAAGCATATCGAACGGAAAGTAATTAATTTCTTCTTCGGTTAACTTAATTTCTTTTCTTTTCTTAATATAAATTTCGTGTTAAAAGTTAGCGCAGGACGTTGTCAGACGCAGTGAACGAATTTTAAAAGAAGCAGATGGATCGATTCGTCCGATCAAATTCGAATTAAAAAGTTATAATTACGGAGAGCGAGAGCGATCAGCGTGGAATTAAGACGGAATCGGGATGACCCGACGCGACGTCTCGCGGATTTCGACAACTTATTAATTACTCAACGCACTTGTCGCGATTGCTAAATCAGTCGATTGATCGTTCACGAATCCTTCTCGGTTAATAATCCTCCACTTGACAGCTCGTTCAAGCAAAGTGTAATACTCGGAAAATGAACAGTTTCGACTTCTCGTTAACTCGTTTACTCACAATCCACGCGCATTAATTCAGACTCTTCGCTCCTGTGCATCTGAGTCAGTTAATTAACGAATTATTCCCAACTGCATCAATCACGTCTCCGTTTCACCGATGAAATAAGACACGGCGAGCCTGACCGCCTCGTCTTCACGCTAATTAGTCACCGTGCACCGACGCTGCTTTCTATTAATTACCAATTAATCCAGCCGATGGCCAATTTTTCGCCTACGACGCGACGCGACGAGACACGAGGCATCGACCTTTTTCGCGATACAGGATCTCTCTGTAACTTTTCATTCTAAAAATAAATCGACAACGACGAGTGACTTGTGCCGTCTCATCCCTATTTCACTATGAGATGTCCATCATTACAGTAATATTATCTTTCCATGACATTTCACGAAAATCAATTCTTTTCTTCTTTGTAATGTAATTTACGCGTGCCAACACGGAAATTTTCATTCGTCAATCTTCCTGTCGAGTCACGACGGGAATGTAATATTTAACGGTGCGAGTTGTCTTTCCGTTAGTCCCCTTTTTCTACTTATATACGTAAGTATCTCTTCCGGCAACAGACGGGACCAACTATTCTTCTTCGTTAAGGAGCTAATAAGGTCGCTTTTTATGTCCGTTTTGTGTAAGATCCACCTACCTATTGTACAACCAGGATTCATTATTTCGAAAAAAATGGACAATTGAAAGTCGATAAGGACAAAGGGAGAGAACACGTATTGGATTAAAATAAGGATTTCGATATCATCTTTCAAGCAGCGCGTCGAGGGATGAGTTAAGAAACTCGCTGATACTTCCAGCGTTGAAGTCTCTGAAAAGATATCGCTTCGAGGCGTACCACGAGAATGAATTTCACTTGGAAACTATTGCTCACCGATAACACTGAGATTTTCAAGTTCATCCTACTCGAATATTTTTTCCACGATCCTCCTGCGATAAATAACAATGAGCAAAATAGAAAGAAAAGAAAGAAAAAATGTTAAAAACATTCAAACAATTTGAATACTATTGCTGTGGATCAGTGGTCGGCAACCTTTTTTACTAGGTGGGCATATTTCAGAAATGCGGGAATTCGGCGGGCACCGTGGGATCAAGAGGAGGGAGGGGTGTAATATTTAAACATGAAAATATTAATGCAGCATAAATTTATTACATAAATTCAAATTTTAACTGAAAAAACATAATTGTTATTCAAATACCTAAAATTTAGAATTTAGATATTTGAACGGCGGGCACTTTAAAATTGCTTCGCGGGCACCGCGTTGCCGATCCCTGCTGTAGATGATGAAGGAATAATACGAGCACAAGTGAATGCCATGGGAAAAGTATAAACTCGAGGAAAACTACTGTAGGTTGCGTTATTAAGGGGAAAATGTTTCCTTGGTCAGGCAACTCGTTTGGATTACATATAACGTGGCACGCAATCAACCGAGAGGTGTCTTGTCACAAACGAATCGCGAAAAAGAGGATCGAACAGGAACGATACTCGTATCTCTCCGTCATCGGCCAGTTCGCGGCAATAACTTTTATGTGCCGGCTAATAAAAACGCGCCGACGGCGTGGCTTTAATCATCGTTAAATCGACTTGCTGCGGTGACGTCGAATTATTGACGGAAGAAGACGATACCGTTTACTCGGTGTCAAGATTAGACAAATTTCAATTTTTCGACATCGTGTCTGTTGATCGTTCGTTCAATGTATCGCGAATGTCTCCGCTTTTGTAAATGCCTGAACGTTTTATTTATAAAAAAAAAAGCCTATATTTCTGAGAAAGAAGAAATCAGATTTTACACTGGCGAATAATCTAAGAAAATAATGATACCGCAGCTGAAAGCTACAGATGAAGATGCTTTTTGCTTCGTGAGGTATTTACTACAGATAGGAAGATCTTTGTTCAAGGATTAGCGTTACAATAATACTTCTCGTCGTATTTCTTTCAAACGAAGAAAAATGTACGAGACGCACAGTGAAAGATTTTGCGTCGGAGGGCATCAACGAATACGTGAAAATACAACAACCCTGATTGTCAGCTGCAGAGGATTAAACCATACTTTTCTATACGCCCGTGTTTATTTCGTGTTTCAAGTAGCGAACGAGCATCTCGATCCATAAATTTCCCCTCGATGCATTCCCACGCGCCTTTCCTTCTTTTCTTTTTCAGCATCTCGCCACTCTCTTCCAGCGCTTATTTATGAACCTGCTCAACCTGTGCGATTCCGCCTGTCCCATGACCAGAAAAATGTACAAACTTTCCTGTTCGCCTCTCATCCGAAAGTACGAGCGCGAACACACAAGGGAAATTGCAATTTGGAAAAGTGTAAGCGCGTCAAGCTGCGTTGTCGTCAACTATTATTCAAATTTCAAATCGATTGATTTTCAACGAGGAAAAAAGATCATCGGGGTATCGAAAGCCGTACGTGTCCGCGCGAGAGTTTTATTGGAAATGACCAACACGTTTTTTCAATTTATCCATGCGGCAACTCTTTGTTTGCGGTTATAACCAGCAATATCGGTAAAAGCATCGGTGTTAATCCATTATACGGTTCGTTTCTTGGTAGAAAAGGGTCTGGTACGGTGCGGCGTACGCGAAATTTCAAATAATTCAACGCACTGAAAAAGTAGTAATACAGATCGAACCGTGCGCGCAACCCGTTATTGCTCGTCACGGCCATTACAGAGACATTTTCAACCGAACGAGCCAACTTTCTGAAACGAAAGTAAGTTCGACGTTACTTTTACGAGGCCCTTAAGAAGGCCACTTCGAGCGTAGATAGAAACTACTGTACGCGTAACTGCATTTCCGTGCACCAAGTAAACCGTCGTCGCGTCGATTCGAGTAGAAGGACAAATAACGAGTTGCCGATAGAATGTTTTCTCCTCTTTTCAACAATTTAATGACAATCGTGCCAAGATATTCCAAAGGAGTGAAAACAATAACGATAAACAGAAAAGATGTCTCGTTTGAAGAGAATTTTTTAATAGGCAATAAGAAGAGCGAGACGCGTGGGCCGCGCGTAATTAAGCCCTCGTTCGCGCAGTTATTCTCCCCCAGAACGATAACTCCAACTGTTTTCGCTTTCTTTCACCCAGGAAATATCCCAGGCTGTCCTACGAAATTCCCCTTGAATTTCCGAGCAACTAGCCTGCTGACACTTAATCAACCATAGTTTATCGCGATATTCGGCAATGG